AACATAGTCATTCCATATCTAATTACAAGATCTGGAACAAGGTCTAAGAGTAAATATACTTTTTAATTATAATTACTGATCAAATAATAGCACTGATTTTAATATACACACATTAGAATACCTAATAGCATCAGTGTAAACCGTAAGGAAATTACAGATGTGACTAAAATTGGATCATTGTTATATATAGAAGGTAAGAAAGATGTTGAAGAAATACTCTTAGTTTTGACATTATAAATTGTTCCTAGAGCTAAAACTGAAGCTAAAGGTAACTCTGTTACTATAGTCAGTTGTAGGGACCTTGTTATAACCAGAGAGCGTAATATTGCCTGTTCCCATGACAGAGTCACTGGAAGGATTAATGACAACTGTCTCAACTATCAGAACAGAGAGAGAGAGAGAGAGAGAATATATAATTATTTAAAAGCTTTAAACATGAAACATGCAATACAGATAAAAAGCCAATTCTACATGAAAAACTGAAAAAAAACCTCATTGCTGCCAAGTTGGAACCAACTCATAGCAGATCCTCCAGCCTCCTGGAGTTACATAGGAAAAAATTAGTCATCTTTCTCCTGCAGAGGCACTAGTGGATTTGAACCACCAGAGAGGCATGACTTTTGGTTTAGCAGCTCCACTTCCTATGAAATATGACAAGAGTGCTCCTAAACACAGAACACACATCTAAAACTAGAAAGGTTGAAAAGAAAAGTTTGTGCAAAGGTATAAATAAAAAAAATTATAAATATCAAAATCAGTTCAGGCCAAAAAATCATTAAACAATAGAGAGAAATATACTTTATAATGCTAACATGTACAGTTCTCTTAAAGCAAATGTCTTTACATTTGGTGACAAATTAGGTTTATTTAGAGTAGCATTTTATTCCAGTTTGCATGGATAGTCTCAGTGTAAGTCTGTTGCTCTGGTTTGATTACTGTGTTTATTGAACCTTCTTTTACGTTTTAAAGATTCTGGGCTGGAAGGATAAATTATATGATCATGAAAGTTTATTACAGGAATGGAAGGATGTATACCAATAAATATTATTAACATGCACACAGGGAGTTTCAGCATTATTCCATCTGCATTCTAAGATTGCTTGTTTCATTCCCATAGTACCTTCTTAAAAGCTCTATCAGACTTTGTTCTCTAAGCATTTACTTCTTTTGACTCACTGGATCACAGCTATGCTATGTGTTCCTTTCACAGGGTCCCTTGAAAAGCTTTCTGGAAGATTTAGGCAGACTTCAAAAGAAGTTTTATGCCAAAGACGAACGGTTGCTTTGTCCCATCAGGACCTACATGATAACTGCCAGGAGTGCAGCCAGTTCAGGTGCTCGCGTGTTGAAAACTCTTCGCCGCTGGGGTCTAGAGATTGATGAAGCTCTCTTCCTTGCTGGAGCCCCAAAAGGTCCCATCTTGGCAAAGATTCGGCCCCACATCTTCTTTGATGATCAGATGTTCCACATTGAAGGGGCACAGAAACTGGGCAACGTCTCACATCGTGTACCTTATGGTGTTAGTCCAAAAATGAACCTTTAGGCATGGGGAGGTGAAATAAACTGACAGTCTGGTGTTAAGAAAGCCACTCCCTTTGGATCTCTCAGGTCACTGGATAGGTATTCAGAACAGTATTTGAGAAATCTTCTGAATTTTTTTTTCTTTGTTTTTTTGTAACTTTGGATTCTTAGTTAAGGTCCAGCTACTTCTCTCTGAGCTGCCAATAGTTAAGTGTGGACTCTGATAGTTTATCTCTTAAGGATTAAGCCAAAGCTGACACCTCTCTGGCAGTTCAAACCCACCAGCAGCTTCCTGAAAGAGAGATGGACAAACTCCCTGCATGTGACTAGGAAACCCGCTGAGGGTCAACTATGACTTGCTCCCACTTTGACTTAATTGTCAATGAGTTTGAGTTTTTTAGTTTTTAAATACATTCACAAATTGGATTCTTAGATGCTTAGAGCATGGTTTTAGAATGTTACATACTTTTCCAAAAACATTGCTTATATTTGCATGTTGATAGGATGGAGTAAATTGTGATTCATCATCAATCTACAATAGTAAAGGGAGTCTCCTAAAATTAATTTTTTTTTCCATTCTGTTGTATCTAAGATCAGACTTTCTCTCAGTGAAAAATGAGAATATCAGAAGTGCATGAGTACACTGTATATTCAGAATTACAACTATCTGTTCATACAAGATACTTTCCACCAGAGATAGACTTCCCATAGCTCATAGGATTTCATATTTGGAGTCACTGATTTTGGAACCAGCATTTTGGCCCAATAATGATATGCTGGTTGCTGTGATGCTGAACACTGTGACACTGATATGTCAAATGTGACAATGGTTACCTGTGGTGGACAGTATTTGATGGAGCTTCCAGATTAAAACAAGTTTGGAAGCAGGAGTGGCATCCACTTCAGAAACAACTTGCCTTCAGAAACCCTATGAACTTGGAGAAACGAAGAAAGTTATACAAGTGTTCAGGTCTTTAGGTCATAGAGTTGCTATGAGTCATCTATGACTTGATAACACTTAACAACAACAATTGGTAAGGTGAATTTAAAAAAAACACACACACAAACATTGGTCATTATTTCAAGATGTGACAAGTGAAATATCCTAGTCTTTGGTTGTTGCCATCTTGTTACAATGTTTTGTTTTGAATAAACCTTGGTCAACTATTAATATATTATTCCATAAGTTAGATAGCATTCTCTTCTTCCAGTTGATTCAGAATCATAGCTGGACACTGCATTGTGTTCCTAAGGCTGTCAACAGTGACAGGAAGAAGAGACTGATCTTTATGTCTGAACAACTCATGTTTCAAGCCACTAGAACCACATAGCCTTTTGGTTAGCAATACAACACTCTCCATGGACTAGGCCACCACGTCTCCTCTTATAGTGACCTGGTTATTTTCACATTTTATCTGACTTTATAATCAGATGATACTTTTGTGATAATATTATTTATTACACTCTTTAATATTAGTTATGAATTTAAGGTTCAAAGATCTGGTAACTTATCCAAGGAATTAGTTAAATGGTAGGACTAAGATCCAAAGTCCTATTTAATTCAAAAGCTATATGCTGTTCTTTCCTCTGTGTTAAACTATGTCTAAAGCAAGTTGTTTGCACTAAATGCATGGCCTCAGAATCCATCTGAATATATTAGCTGTTCCATTGTGTTCTAGGCTACTCTACAGTTAGCCTAGATATTCCTCCCTCTTTTGCACAGGTCTTCTGCTATTTCGTGACAAACCACACATACATATGCCAACCCTGGCTTTAATTAAGACCATGTGTGGCATACATCTTTAGAACTATAATTTGGTGCATGGCAATTTACAACATATCAGATGTAAATTTATTGAATGCCCGCTGCTTTTTAAGAGGTTCTTCTATGTAAAGACAGCAAGAAAGACTCAAACTTAATTCTAATATTTGGAAATGAATAGCCTTAACAATGCAGTGTTGTTGTTAGGCATTACTGAGTTGACCACAATTCACAGCAATGCTATGAATAATTAATGGATCTGAACCTTGCCCTGTCCTGTGCTATCCTATTATCTCTGATATATTTGAGCCCATTGTTATAGTTACTGATCTGGTAGCCAAATGTGTGAAGTCAAATAGCCAAGAATAGAGGGCTCTTTATTGTCAGTGCTAAATAAGGATCATGCATGAAGTTAAGAAAGTGGAGATCTGTATGTGCTTTAAGTTGTAGGGAAACAGAGAGAAGAATTGAGCTTTGAAGGACAGACATAATGTACACAAATAGAAAGGAAGCAAGTAAATAGAGATGTGCTGGGGCCTAGCTGAGCTTGAACAGCAGCTTCAGATTGGGAATAAAATGGACCAAATAGTCAACTCTCATAGTTCCCATTCCTCATGCATGTCTAACATTAATGACAATTTTTTTTCCCTACCTGAGAACACCATTTCCATTCTCCTTAAGGAATTCTCCTGGCATCTAATAATTTTTTTAAAATTTATTTTATTTCATTATTTTTTGTGTGTACCGTCAGATCAGATCTGACTGATACAGGAGGAGATTGTTCCTCCTCCAGCAGAGCATCTGGTGGATTCGAACTGTGTACCTCCAAGATTGCAGTGCAGCTTCTTGCCACTAGGCCACCAGAGCTCGCCCAATTTTTCCCTTTGTATAGTGAATATTAGTTATATGCTATATCAATCTTGGGGAGTTCTGAGTGGCCTAGTGGTAAGGAGATGCACTGCAATCCTAAAAACACATGATTCAAATTCACCATTTGTTCCATGGAAGATGAAAGATGGGAAATCTCCTCCCATATGATTAAACTACTGCTGAAAACCCATTAGAGGATCAGCTATGTGTGAGTCGGTTCCAACTCCATGTTACTCAACATCTTGGGAATTTATTTCAAACTTCAAAATTACTTATCTTGAACTGTGAAACAGTATATACCCTACGGGTAGAAATTGTGTTCTTTTTCTCTGTTGCACTCACAAGGTCTGACACATGGCAAGAAATTGGTGCATGTCTCTTGAGTGAATGAGTAGAAGAATAAATGACTTCTTAAAAGTGACAGCCTAAAGTTATAAAGATTTCAACCTGTTGAAACATCCTCGTGGCAACAATATCTGGAATTTACTAAATATTTTATAGCTTACAACATACTTTTCCATCCATTAGCAATTGGTCTATTGTCAATGAGGTTGGCATTTGTGAATGGTATGGTGCAAGCTTGTGCCTGATCCGAAGTCTGTTTATACCAAGTCCAAGCTTTTCCCACTGTACTTCAGACAATTTAAGTAAGACCATTGTTTTCTGAGGGTTGGTATCCCCCCTCCTCCATGGAGACCAATGGTCTTTATAGTCTTACTCAACTTACTCAGTGGTTCTCAACGTGCATTGTGCAAAGCAGCAACATTCATCAGAATCATCTGGGAACTTCCAGGAAATGCAAAGTCCCAGGGTCCCATTCTGTACCAACTCTAACACTGGGCCAGACATTTTTGTAGTTTATAGGCCATCCAACCCTGCTGCCTGAACCACGCTGCTAAGTGCTTATTAGCATTATCTGAGAGGAAGGGTGGATATACGGAAGTGAGAAGCCCCTCCAGACTTCAGCAAGGCAGGGACAATTCTCAAGAGGGTGGACATAAGTTAAACTGATGATTAACAAGTTAGGACCTCAAATACAGTAACTGAAAACAAGAGTTATAAAGAGATTTATAAGTCCAAAGTATTCACTAGGCATTCCCTGGTGTCACTACAGTTCTGGGATTTCAGGTTGTATGAATTCCCACTACCTGAAAACTAGGTATCCAGTTCTGTCTCCCTGGTTTGGAGCAAACTATACTAAAAGCACCATGGCCTTGACCATTGTATTCACCATTATCAAACACAACCCCTCAAGTTGATTCACACTGCTAGGGACAATCGCCCCACGGGGGTGTACAACACTATAAACCACACTCCACTTCTCCAACTGAGCGACTGGTGGGTTACAATCTGCACACCTATGGATAAACCCTGTGCAGAATCACTCCATCACCAGGGGTTTTTACTTCCCAACCAATCAAAACTGCTGCTCTGAGATGAGAAACTACAAGTCCCAGCATGCTTCACGTCGCCCAGCAGGGGAGGTTTGATCAGCCCCAGAGTTCTTCTCGTGCAGGTGGCAGTCTCCGTTTGGGAAGTCTGGCTTTTCCGGACTCCCGCCCAGCGACCTGTGGGTCATCTTGGCCCGAACAAATATGACAGTTGCTACAGTGGCAGCACTACTGGCAGCACTGGGTGGGGGGCTGTGGCTGGCGGCTCGGCGGTTCGTAGGGTCCAGGGTCCAGCGGCTTCCCAGCGGCAGGGCCTCCGGCCTCATGCAGGGGAAGACCGTGTTGATCACTGGTGCCAACTGCGGCCTGGGTCGCGCCACCGCGGCCGAGCTGCTGCGGCTTGGGGCGCGGGTGATCATGGGCTGCCGGGACCGCGCGCGTGCCGAGGAGGCGGCCGGGCAGCTCCGCCGCGAGCTGAGCCAGGCCGAGGGCCCCAGGCCGGACCCCGACGCCAGCGCGGCCGGGGAACTCATCGTCAAGGAGTTGGATCTGGCCTCCCTGCGCTCAGTGCGCGCCTTCTGTCAGGAGCTGCTCCAGGTGTGCGCTGGGAAACAGAGCCCAAGAGGAGGGGATGGAGGAAAGCACAAGGACATGCTTGCTGGGCTTCGGGGGCGGGGCCTGATGGGCGCGGGGCTGAGCTGGGAATGGGCGGCCGCAGAGAAATTGGGATGTGACTGCATAAAAAGACAGCTTGTCTGATGCTCAGGAAGTTGCTTTAGTAACCAAAGGCTGGTTTAACAGTTCGAATCCAACAGCGACTCCATGGGAGAAAGATAAAGAGTCAGCCATGCAATTTACAGCCGCTAAAGCAGTGAGTGGCTGGAGGAGAATGGGCAATCTTCCCGTGCAGTTAACTGCCTCCGAAAACGTGCTCGAGGGTCGAAAATCTGCTCGAGAGTCGGCTGTGAATCCCGTCTGACTTGAAGGCACACAACAAGGCAATGAGTCAATGTTAATAGAGAATACATACAACAAAAGCTTGTTGGATGCCTGTAAGTTGCCACCCTGGGAAAGTCGCCGAACTTAAAGAGCCTTCTCGTGCCCTCTTAGAACCTGAGAGCGAAATGGCCCCAAGAGTAAAAGAATTAACCAGTTTTAAAAGTACTTTTCTTTTGAGAGGGCTGTCGAGCAGTAGAGCCACCAAAGCTCTGAACTGAATTTCCTGTGTCAGCAGTTAGTCTGTGTTAAGCCCGCTCTTCTGTCACAGAGCCCATTAACATTTGAGGAAATTGCTAGTTTAGGACTCAGGGAATAAGCAGTCCATTTTGTTTTGTTTTGCTTTTGTTCCAGGGGTAGGGAGGTCAGCTGGCCAGCCCCAGTGGACTTATGAGCACCATGCTTAGGTGGACTTTGGCTGATTTCCGAAAGAGAAGAGCAAGATCTCTCAGTCATAACACTTTGAACTAGGATAGAAACAAAAATCTGTAATTTAATTAATGAGATTTTATTGCATGCTGACGTATGAACCTTAAAGTGCTCTTGGCTCTGCTTATTAAAATGCCACCCAGGCAGGCGCCTTTGACTCTAAGGGTTGTCAAACTTTCGCAGTTTTGGGCACCCTTCACCAAATCAAAACCATTGCCACTGAGTTGACACCAGCACCACAGATACTGGTTATTATTTTTATCCCTGTGAGAAAGAGTAGAAATGCCTATAGCATTTCCAAGGTTTATCGTTAAGGAAGCAGATTACATCTTTCTCCCACAAAGCAGCTGATGAATTTGAATCACTGTCATTTCGCATAGGAACTGAGTGCTTAGCCCTTCTCTAGGATACTTTTCAGTCTTTGCTGTGCAGTCACAACAGATACAGCTGACTCATAGCTAACCCTCCACAGAGTTTTCCGAGTCAGTAAGTAACACCAGAGGAGACTGCCCATCTTTCTCGGAGCTGTTGGTGGATCTGAGCCGCCAACACTTTTGTGCCACTTCTAGGTTAGCAGCCCAACTCTCTATGGAGTACAGCAGAGCTCTAGGACACCCTTGTATACTCAGAGCCATCTCATAGGTCACCCTCCATCTGGTTTTAGGAGGCAGTAAATCATATGAAAGATTTCTTAGTGATGAGTAATTTTTTCAAGGTTAATTTGGAGTGACCTAGTGGGTAAGGAACAACATCTGACAGACAAGCATGTTAGTGAAAGGAACAAATGAGAGACACTTCCCCTTACAGAGATAACCATACATACAGTGCCCTTCTCCTGTATGTGTGTCTTGTCTCTTCCCTTTCCCTAAATATTAGCATCATTTGCACTCCCTCCTGCCCCATCTAGCACCTCCCCACCAGCAACCCTTTGATAAGACATTTTAGGTCACAAGTCACTTTTGTGATATCTTGCACCTCGCATAGGGTTGCTGTGAGTCACAGATTACTCGATGACACATAACAACAACAGTGGGTAAGGAGGTGATTCCAATGCAGTAGCTGCTCCAGATGGAGAAAGATCAGCAATCTCTTGTGTGGTTTACAGCCTCATAAAATCCACTGGATAGTCAGCTGTGAATTGGATTTGATTCAAAGGCAGTGAATTTGAGTTTTAGGCCAAAAGAAATATTTACTATTTTATGTATTAAACAGATCATATAGGCAAGTCTGATATCAGGAACCTCTCCAAAATACTGATGAGCAATGATGTCAGTTTGAAAACTAAGGTGTGCCTGATTCAGGCCATGGCCTACTCAGTCACCTGCTATGTATTAGAGAGCTGGACAATGAATAAGGATTACAGAAGAAGAGTGGATGCCTGTAAGTGTGGATGTGGGAATAATAGTGAATATCCCATGTACTGCTAAAAGAACAAAGAGCTATGTCCTGGATAGGGTGCAAACAGAGTGCTCCTTGGAGACATATAGTTAGGCAAGGCTATTTCTTAGGGATATCATGCTTAGAAAGAGAGCATCAGGAAAGGAGAGGAATATCCCCAATGAGATGCATTGACACTTGTGACTTCAGCAGTGGGCTCTTTTGTCTCAGATGATGATAACAGAGTATAGGGCAGGTTTCAGGTTGGCTGCTCTTTGAGTCTCTATGAGTCATACTCTGTTTGACAGCATCTAACAACAAATAGGTATTTGTGTCCTAACAACTTGATACCTTTTAGAAAAAAAAATAAGATTCATGAGTGAAAGACAAAAGGTGTTTCTTTCTTAACAACCATAATATCTAATGAGCTGTGTGTTCCTTTAGTCACTGCCAATTTGTTAAATCTTATAATCACATGGCACACTCTTACTCTCATTTTTTGACCCAGGTTGTTTTTGAGCATGGCACTTATTTTTTTGTTGTTGGTACAAGTTACTGAAAACTCTGCTCCAAAAAGTCTGTAAAAGCATTACAAAAAGAAACAGTATAAACAAATATAGGTGTGAACTCTCTGGAATTAATAGTTTTATTTTGTTGAGAATATGATGATGTTTTCCTTAAAAATGCAGAATATCTTATAACGCCTTGGGAATTTGGACATTTGGTACAATTTGGGAGTTATGTTCTTGTTAGATGCCATCGAATCAAGTATGACTGATAGTGACCCTGTGAACCATGGCTCTGAATCTTGTCCTATCCTGAGTCAAACTTACCATCTCTGACACACTTGACGTTATGTCACTGTCAATCTTTATCATTGAAGAGTTTTCATCTTTTGTGCTGATCCTCCTATCTTTCCAAGCATCATGTCCTCTAAGGGCTGCTCCTGACAACAAGCTCAAAGTACCTGAGACAGAATTTCAACATCCTTGCCTCTGGGGAGAACTTTGGTTTCACTTTCTCTAGGAAATACTTTTTTGTTCTCTCAGCAGGCCATGAGATATAAAATAGCAGTGATATTTTGTTTCTTATGGAGAGTAGATATTAAGAAAATAAATGCTAAAATATAAGAGCTATTGTATGCATTAGGTTTTACTATTTTTATTAAATTGTATTGGCTTCATTTTATTTTGTGCCATCAGGTTGAGACTAACTCATAGTTGACCGTCCAGTAGGTTTTTAGAAGACTATAAATTCCATAGGAGAGTCCCCATCATTCTCCCTCAGAGCAGCTGGTAGATTTGAACCACTTGCCTTTGGGTTTGCAGCATAATTCCTTACCCACTAGGCCACCAGAGCTCTCTGCTTATTGTTTTTGTTATGTGATGACAAGCTGGAAGTGACTCCTAGCTGACTCTCCAGTGTGTTTAGAGGCTGTAAATCACATGGAAGGAGATTGCCCATCTCTCTCTGGCAGAGCAATGGGTGGATTTGAACAGTGTGATTTTGGGTTGACAATGCAGCTCCTATATTCCTCCTGTAAAGATTTATATAGCCAATGAAGGGCTGTTAGAGTGGAAAGAACACAAAGATTGTGGATTTTTGTTGTTGTTGTTTTTGCTGCTATTGTTTTTAACTAGTACTTTAAGGAGTCCTGCTGGTGCTGTAAGTAAGTGGTCAACACTGACTGAAAGGTTGGTGGTTCAAAGCCCCACAGTGGTTCCGAAGGAGAAAAACCTATCAGTCTGCACCCATAAAGGCTGTAGCCATGGCAGTTCTGCTCTGCCGTTGTGAGTCCAGATCAACTTAAAAGCACCCAAAACAATACACTACTTGAGTTGCATGAAAGAGCCAAATATATAAAGAAAGAACCTTGTTGCCCTTGTTTTTGTCGTTGGTTCCCCACCTCCTGAAGCTTCCAGCTGGCTTGGAAATTCCATGGTTATGAAGAGGGAATAAAAAAGGAAGTGTGGATTTCCCACGGGCTGGCATTTTTGGTATTTTTACCATTTATCTTCTAGAATTCTAAAAAATTAGTAATTGATAAAGTCCTAAAATAACAGAAGCCCAGCAAAGAATGATGGTTCAGAAATGATTAATTCAGGAAACCCTTCCAAAGGATTAGTGGAAAAGAACACTCCTTTCTTTCCCCCACGAATGAACTCTTGCCTTTTTTGAAGCTGACTATTGGAAAAGCTACAGGTGCTCAGGCAGACAGAATGAGAAATTGCTAATCCTCTGACAGGTAGGCTTTGATAACAGTTGTGAGATTTAACACATTTTTTCCTTTCATTTATACTTGGCAGAAGGGTCAGTGAAATATGAAATTTGACCTCACATTAATTTAATCACTGTGTCTTCTCACCTGGAACATGTGTAATTTCTCCGTTCATCAAGAGAGACCTAGAGGAGCCAAGAAAGGCTAAAGAGGGAATGAAAAGACTTTAGGACAGTCTAAATTTTAATATTCTAATCTAGAAAGATTCAGGGGTAAATAGTCAAAGTGTAACATTCTGCTCTATAGACTCTTACACAGCTGTGGTGGCCTAGTGGAGTTACTCAACTAACACAAAGATGTGTGGTTCAAATCCACGTATTTGAGTCTAAACCAGGTGTTTATTAAGCATCTAGTACATTCTCAGCAAGGAAGATGTGGTGACTTAGTTGTAAGGAGTTGCACTGTGAACCCAAAGGTAAAAGGTTTGAATCCATCACCTGCTCTGTAGGAAAGAGATGGACAGTCTCCTGCTGTGTGATTTACAGCCTCTGAAAACCCACTGGAGGGTCAGCTATGACTCAGTTTCAACTCAATGACAGATAACAACAACTATATATCTCTTAAGAAAGAAGCCCCTTGAAGCTTCAAAGAGATTTTCAGGTAGGGAAGCAAGGAATGAGCTCTAGGGTCAATATGAATGTTAAAGGTATTTGTTAATAATCTTATGTCTGTTAGCATTGTGAAGGATATTATTTGTGGTTTACTTGAATTACTTCTGATGTTTTTTATTTAATACTTTAGAAATATTTTTTTCCCTTAAACTTTCCTTGAATTCTCTGGTGTTCTCTTCAGTTATATTTTGCATAATCGGTCCTTTATTGCAAACCCTAGTTTTACGAAAATAGCTTGCACAAGCTTTGCCTTCATGGGGCCATTTATGGGTTTTTGTTTTGGTTTTTTAAAAATTTTTTATTAATTTCAATGAACATTTACAAAAATTTTGGATTTCCATTCATTCATTGTTGCACTTTTCTCCCCTTCCACCCCTGGTTCTCTCTTCTCCTTGAAAAGCAAAAGAAAAACTTCTTCATTGGTATACAATCCCCCACCCCGAGTATACTCCACTCTGCAACCTTCATTCCAAACTCTTATAACCATAATTCCCTAAAATATATTACTTTTAAACTGTTATCTCCTTCATAGGCTTCAATGTAGTATACATCATTTATCCAGTTTTTCTCAGTCTTACCCCCACCCTGATGTCAGCCTTATCTTTAAAGAACAACAAAATTAAACTTTCTTATCTTTGACCTTAGTATTGTTCCCTGGAGAGGGTTAAACCCGACTACTCCTTGGAGGCAAGGATTCTGAGGCTTCCTCTGACATACTTTGTTCATGTTGTAAGGAGAGACCGGTTTTTGGAGGACATCATGCTTGGGAGGGTGGAGGGACAGCGCAGGAGGGGGAGACCCTCTGGGAGGTGGATTGATTCAGTGACTGGGGCAATCGGGATTAGTGTGTCAGAGACAGTGCGATTGGCACAGGACAGAGCAGAGTTTAGAGCTATTGTAAATAGGGTCGCTATGAGTGATGGCACATAACAACAACAACATTGTTCCTGGTAACATTTGTTAATCAGCTCTAGGTCACAGAGCCTCTCTAGCAATGGTTTGAAAAGCCCAATTAAGAAGCTGTGGGTGGTTTCCTAATAAAGAGAAGGAACATTGATTGATATAGAAGAATTTCATCTTCAGCCCTTTGTTTTGTCATTTAGGAGCTCAGTTACACTAGGCAAGTTACCTAACTTAAAAACTCTTTAAGATAAAAAAAATACCCCAAAAACTGAAGCAAAGAAATTAGGTGAGTTGGTCAGTTGGGAATAATAAATGAGATTACTTTTTTTCCTTTCTTGAAAGCACAGATATTTAATTAAATTCCGTAGGTTGCAAGAATCACAGCCACATTTATTATGATCTTGATCTGTTCTGAATTTTACTTGACAATTCCCAAATTAATATTTTCATAATTCACCCAAATTTAAGAGGTAAAATCTAGAATTAGAGGAATATTCCTTGTTCTCACATTAACTGTTTTAAGAATGATCCCATTATTGATCATATACTTAGTCAACTTTGTAATGAAATAAATACCAAAACAGGTGTATTTGTAACTATCCTTATGTTACCAGAGATAAATGCTCACTTTCAGTAAATTTGGCAGCTTACTGTGAATAAATATATTTCTGCATGTCTCTTTAATAAGTTAGAAGAAGACACTGTTGAATAAATGGTCATCAGTGTTAATATGCAAAGGAATACCTACCTCACCCCTACCCTGATTTTAAAAATTTGCTAATATTCTAAATAGCTTTGATTTATAAGCTAACAACTGAAATGGAAAACTATTAGTCTTAAGTGTAGTTTTAAATAAAACTTACTTGTCATGAGCAGTAAAAGAAGTTAAAAGCCAGTGTTCATAATCTTTCTCTTCTCTTTGTAACATTTAAAGGAAGAGCCTAGACTGGATGTCCTGATCAATAATGCTGGGATCTTCCAGTGCCCTTATATGAAGACTGAAGATGGATTTGAGATGCAATTTGGAGTAAACCATCTTGGGCACTTCCTACTCACCAATCTTCTTCTTGGACTCCTCAAAAGTTCAGCTCCCAGCAGGATTGTGGTAGTTTCTTCCAAGCTTTATAAATATGGAGACATCAATTTTGAAGACTTGAACAGTGAACAAAGCTATAATAAAAGTTTTTGTTACAGTCGGAGCAAACTAGCTAACATTCTTTTTACCAGAGAACTAGCCCGACGTCTAGAAGGCACAAATGTTACTGTAAATGTGTTGCATCCTGGTATTGTACGAACTAATCTTGGGAGGCATTTAAATATTCCACTGCTGGTCAAACCACTTTTCAATTTGGTGTCATGGGCTTTTTTCAAAACTCCAGTGGAGGGTGCCCAGACTTCTGTTTATTTAGCCTCTTCACCTGAAGTAGAAGGTGTATCAGGAAAGTACTTTGGGGACTGTAAAGAGGAAGAACTTTTGCCCAAAGCTATGGATGAGTCCGTTGCAAGAAAACTCTGGGATATCAGTGAGGTGATGGTTGGCCTATTAAAATAGAAGTAAGATGTAAAAGAGAGCTTTTTGTAAAACTGGATAGCACTTGTATCCAGGACCAGGACAATAATATTGCTAAGAGGTACATATGGATACTTTAAAATTACAAAGTGATATTTTAGAAGTAAAAATTGCAGATAAAGTCTTAAAGTATAATAAAAATAAGAATATTTTAAAATTATGTTTGGTCAAGCATGCACTGCAACTATAGGGATTTGAGTAACTGAAAACAAAAATTTGAGACTTTATTTTTTTAGTTTCATGGCTAAAGTGTTCAATATTGCTACTGTAAGCTGATTTTTTGTGGAAATAATATGTCCAGTATGTGTACACAATTCTTATGTAGAATAAATTTATTGGTGCATATTTTTAATTGTGTATTTCGTTATTAGTATCATTTAATTCATTCTTACTATCACCAGCTTTAATGATCTTGGTATCTCATGGTTGTTAAATAATTTAGACACTGTTTTTGAAGATAATATATAGAAATTTCAAGTGTAATTTTGTCACTTCTTTAAAAAGTTGGTGGTTTCCAGTGGACCATAGTACAGAATTCTTTCTTCAATTACAAGTTTTTACTCCAATGGAAAACATGAATGGATACAATGGACCATAATAGAAGAATTGGGTCAGCGTCCTCTAAGACGCTAAGGTGCAGCGTCCACCTTGCAACAATTGTTGAATACTTCGTAAGCCATTTCTATTTGGGTAAGGACCCCTGGAGATATATTGCACAGCCTATTGGTCTGCTAACTAAAAGGTTGGTGATATGAGTTCACCAACTGATTCATGGAAGGGAAATGGGCCAGATGGAGGGTCACTATGAGTCAGAAAAGACTTTGTGGCAATGAGTTTGGTTTTTGGTATAAAATTTAAATTCAGGTTTACATTTGAGATCCTGAACTGATTAAAGTCTAAGCCCAGTAGAACATCCTATAGTGATGGAAATAATATTGCACTGACCAACAGGTAGACATTAGAACTTGTGGTTATTGAGTTCCTAAAATATTGCTAGTACATCTGAAGAACTGAGTTTCTAATTTTATTTAAGTGTTATTTGAATTTAGGCATATATGACTAATAGCTTAGCTCTTGGACAGTACAATATTAATCATTACATAGCACAACCCAGTCTTCAATATAGACTAGTCACCCACCCTGTCACACCTCTGGGCCTTTATTTATATTGTTCTTTCATACTAGAATGCTCTTCTTCACTTTTGCTGGAAACACTACATGTTGTTGTTGTTATATGCTGTCGAGTCACTTGTGACTCATAGTGACCCTATGTACAACCCCTTGCCAATCTTACTGTCTCCAACACACCTATCCCCATTACTCCAGCCACTGAATCAATCCTCTCATCTAGGGTCTTCCTTTCCTGTGCTGTCCCTCCACGTTCCCAGGCATGACATCCCTCTCCAAGGACTGATCCAACCTTGCAACATGTCCAAAGTATGTCAGACAGAGCTTCAGAATCCTTGCCTCCTAGGAGCCGCCTGGCTTCACCCTCTCCAGTCAAACTTGTTTGTTCTCCTAGCTTGTTGTTGTTGTTATGTGCCGTCAAGTCATTTGCGACTCATAGCGACCCTATGTACAACAGCCCTAAACCCTGCTCTATCCTGTGCCAATCTCATTGCCTCTGACACACCC